CGCCTGAGCGCTCTTAACAGAGCGCTCGGGCGGCTGCAGTATTTAAAGGGCCGGCCCAGGAACGCGGCCGGCCCCCAGGTGCCGCGGCCCACCGGGAAATTTCCCGGTATCCCGGTGGGCCAGTCCGGCTCTGATTATACAGTTGTCTGTCTTTGGTCTGCATTTATAGTTGTGGTTTGGCAAGTGGGAGTTTGGACTTTTGACTTTCCATACTGCCTTTCCAATTCACAAAGATCAAACAGTGACATCACAGTGCCTTGTGTAAGTATATCTCTTGACTGGGTTGGAATTTCAGTGACATTCTAATACAATCAAAATGAGTAATTCATAAACATTCTATCTTAATGAAATACTCTTTTTTGGGGGAGAGCATTGCCACTTTAAGAGTTCTGTGCAACACAAAATGCATAAAGTGTGGTTGCTGTAACAGGAGGTTTTCTTTCCGCTGAATGGAATAAAAATATTTTTAATATTGGAGCAATATTTACTAGATGATCTGGTATGATCGATTGTGCATCCCCTCTTTTCTTTTGGTTTCAATTTGAATAATGTAGGAACTAACAGATCACCAGCAAAAAGCACCAGTTCCTGGAATTCTGCAGTCATAACCAGTTAATGTAAGTGATTTTACAGTTGATTTTTTAAATAATCATTCTTTTCACATTTGCACTGCTATTATTTTTGTTCATAATAGATGTTCCTTACTTAACTTCTGTTTTTGTCAAATATAAGAATTGTTACACAAGATTATCTATTTTAAAGTATTTTTGAATGCATATAGATTTTGTATTTTGGGCATATTTAAATGTGATTGGGTAGAGTAACCTAAAACTTCCAATTTCTAAATCACCATGTTGGTGGCAGCTGTTGATATGAGGAGTTATTTCACAGTATGTAGAGAGGTCTGTGGCCCTCAAATCATTGAGAAAATGAGCTGCACATCAAACAAATTTCTGTACTAATTTGTTTTTTCATTAAGACTTTATTGTCATTTTGTACACAAACATCTGAAACAGGCTTACAAACATGGAATGTAACAAAATAGAAAAACTGAGGCATACTCATTTTCAGCTGAAAAAAAAGAAAAAGACAAAATGCATGTCATGAAAAAGCAGCTCTAGCACAAGGAATCTTTTCTGCTACAAATGGAACATTCTTTGAACAGGACACGAAAGCATCAAGGTTAAGGCTCATTTGTTTACATACACTATTGGGTATCCTTTACATTCAACAGACATGGCCAGGAAAAGCTCATGTTTAGAGTACTTATCAACAGTGTACACTATCATTGCAGTATTTGTGTTCTCAGCAAAATAACACATTTTCATCAAATCATATGGGTACTCAGTCAGTAGTTTATCACAGCAACAGAAGGATTTGCGAGTAATCAGAATACAATTTGTTGTTTAATAAACAGGGAATTACTTTAAATGAGAATCAATTTGCAAAATTAGTATCAATATAGCCAAGATGGAAAACAAATCTCCAATTTAGACATTTTCAATTTGTTTTACAAATGAAACAGTTCCCTTTTCAATTCACTGTTTAATAAATTACTGTGTTCTGTATTGACATTTGGTCATTATGATCATAATTGTAGATTGCGATATAAGCATTATATATCATGGTCCTGAAACTCCTGAAGGAATTTAGCTACATTTTGTCATACTTCACATTTCAGGATTCTTTGGCAATATTTAAAGTTTCTAAGAATATTGTTTTGTTCCTAAAAGGGGGAGCTTTACAAATTTAACATGTATGTTGTAGCAACATAAATTATCAAAGCTATTTAGTTTAAAAAAAATAATAATATTGGGGGTCATATTTTCCACCTGTTATCTATTTCAAAGACGTCACTAAGCATCCAAAGTAGCTCAGGACTCCCTCTACTGTTTGTAAAATAGAGCTATGAGATGAATAAATACAGACACACAGACACACACACACACACACATAGAAACACAGGCCACTGTCAGCAGTACTAAATGTCATCAAAAATGGTTTGACCCTAAAACTAGACTTTTGCCCTTTCAACAGTGCTGAACGAATGTCTGTGAATATATGGCAAAAAATCTATTTGCTCAGGTTTACCTAACAGATTGATTTGTATGTCCATGGATTTGCAGACATTTGATGAATTCAGTACAACTGAAAAACCATTTTTTCACAAGTCTCCTGAATACTTTTTAAATAAGTGGCTTTCACTATTATAATTTCATATGAGGGCAAATTTAAATTTTCAATGATAAAAACCCATTTACCATTTTTGTGATCGTTTCAGTTTAAGAATAATTTTAATAAAAAAACAATTTGAATTGTGGTGTAATGAAAACCAAAGTTGTTGACTTTAATCCAAAACACATAAGGTTTTGGCAAAAATATAAAGATATGTGAGTTGGAAAAATTCTCTATTTTTTATTTTAAATCACAAGTTAATTTTAACAAACTAGTCTGAAGTCTAACAGAAACTAAACCCTTAAGTCTAATTTAACTAAAAAGCAAGACCATTTTAGATAAGCAGTTTACTGAGCAGCAACTTGGTGTGTCTGTGTACAGAAGCAGTCATTAAATGGACACTGTATGCAGTAAAACCATTTCATATAGTACATGAAGTCTCCTGGAACGGTCCTTCCATTCAGTGTTAAACCATTTTGACTGGTTTGAAACTGAATGGGGTCCTTCACTTCCCATAGCCCAACCCCCACTAAAGGTGTGACTAAGGAAAAGACATTTCCTTGTAGCCATATGGATTCACACCTGCAATGGCAAAGCAATAGGCTGAATGTGGTCTGTTGACACTCTCAGCCAATCAATATTGTCCATTACTGCTCAGGCTAATGCTTCATTAGCCCAAGCAGCAGAGGGTATGGGTTACTTGAGACTCTTGTTTAGCATTAAAACCTGTGTAATGCTGAATGGAAGAACATTGCCAGGGGACTCCAGACACTATCAGCACTTCAATGAGATAAAGCCGTTATGGTGCCTTTAGAATTTGTTTTAACTGTGAGTCTGAATAGGCATTACAACAAACTTGTAACATTGGATTCTGATCAGCTGATTACATGCTTTCTGTTGCAGACAAATGATTATTATTCAGACATAGGAAGACTGTTTTGTTAGGAATTTACCAACTTCCTCCAGGAATGTATTCTGCCCTTATCCAAATTAAGAGTGAAGTCTGTGGATCAGTTCACAGTTCTTCAAAAGTTGGCCTACTTAGCTAGTTTTAGGAAATCTGTGCATATGCTCTCCTTTTTGCCGAATCTGGTTTGTTTGAACTCCAGTCTTCAGTTGAAGAAGCACTTGTTCATAAGTGTGCAGTATATGGAATTGTGTGGCCACATGTTAGGACTATTGAAATAGCCACTCCACTGGATGATTGCCAACCAGTCCCTTTGAAATCATATTTATGGTCCGTGGCAGCAGAAGCAATATTTAGGCATAACCAAACCGTAGAAAAAAAAACAAAACTTAAATGGCTAATAGTATATGCTTGGTTTGTGGCAATCCCCTGTACTGTGGTGTCCATAGTTTAAAACACTATTGGCAAACAAGCAATCAGCAGGCACCAAACACTCCTTACCAGCAGTTCTCTCAGAGCTGTTAGTTAATCCATAGCAAAAATGTTAAAGCAGAAAAACTAAGATTCAAAATACAAAGGTTTCTGTAAGACACAGGTGAGAGAATGTTCGGGGTGTATGTAATCCTGACAATTATTTAATCATTGCAGAACTAGTTTCAGTGATGTCCTTATTACACATAGAAGGGGAAGCAGCAAGAGTTTGCATATACATCTTGTGTGTTTAACTTTTTTCTTACTTTAAAAACAAAAAAAAAAACTTCTAAACACTGCATTATTTTTACACCCGCCACTGTTTGCTTTATTCCTGTTCATTTTTCTTTTTCTTTAAATATATGCAGCAGATATGCCTGGATGTGACATCATCAAATTCCCTTTGAGTGTATTACTTAAGGATTAGTGACAATTTAAAGTGGACAGATTAAAACATTGCTTATTTGAATCATTAGGTATCTCTTTGCTTATTCATCTTACGTCTATGGATTTTCTCAGAACAGTTTTGATTCTGTTGTCTTAAACGGTTACTCCAAGTCCCATGACCACTTCAGTGATTTGAAGTGGTTATGGTGCCTGGAGTCTGTCTATGTAGCATTTCACTTTGAAACACTGCACATATGGAGTTTAATCCCTCTGCTGCCAGAGGTGTAGTTCCACCTCTAGCAGCATAGTTCGGGTGTGATTATCAAGCCCTGGCTGGCTAATGTCAATTCTGTGTATATTCCTAGGAATAGTTTTGCATTCATTGGCTGAGAGCAGTCAGCTGACGCTGTCAATTAATGAAATTCCAGCATAAGTAAATACAGACTTCTGAAACTTCTGTAGAAGCTGGATGTCTTCATCAGCTAGCTGTAGAGGACCCTTTCCGCCTTGTATCAGGAATAAAATGGTTTTATTTCACAGAGCAGTTGGTCTGAGCTGGACTGAGATTTGCTCATAGCTACCACAGTCTAAATAACATAATCCTTAATGCCAATCCAATTCTACATATCTGAGCCATATTTCCTTCTTGAATCCTTACAGTTCCTCGGTACACAATCATGGATCCAGATTAAATGTCCTGTTCTGGATGGTGGAATTGCAACTGGAAATCTCTAACCCACTAAGTGGGGATTACAGTATATGTAAATGGTGCTCTAAATTTTGTTCCATGAAAAGTATACCTTAAATGAACACTCTGGGCACCATAACAACTTCATCAGAAATAAGTTGTTAAGGAGGACCTCTAACGCTGGCTTTTATAAAGGGACTTCAAGTCTTGAATCCAGTGTCCTTAGCGCTTTCCACAAACATCTCTACTGAGAGGGGGAGAGCTTTCAGCCTATTAGCAGCTTACCATTCATAAAACACAGAGAAAAATGCATTAGTTTCTCACTCCAATTTGTGAATGGGGAGCTACGGATAGGTTGAGAGCGTTTGCCGTCACACTCAGCCTATCAGCAACTCTCATCGCGAGGCTTCCTGATTAAAGCCCAAAACTGCAGTGGATGTTTGTGGGAAGCACCAACAGGCACTGGATTCAAGACTTTGATATTAAACCATTTAACTCCTTGAGGTAAGTCGGCGCCTGGGAGCCTTCTTTCAACATAAGAATTTCATGTTGTTTCAATGGTTCCCAGAATGTCCCTTTAAGATTGCCTTGCACATACAAAACTTGAACATCTTTAGATTCAGTGAACATTTTGTGATAAAAGAAAAAGGTTTGGGCTATGTTTTCCAGCAAAGATAGTTCTGTAGTTTACAGATTGTATGGGATCAACAAAACATTAGATGGCATGAACTAATTGGGGTAGCCTTCAAAGAAGCTTTATCAATCAACCAATATGGGAGCAGACTACCACCATCATTTAAGAACATATTTAGGGTTATACAGGATATACGAATATAAAATGAAGGACATATTTGGAACAAAATCATAATTTCGCAGTTTTATAGTGTTCATTTTTGAAATTTTGTCCTGCAAAATCATTAAATGAAAGTTTGCTTAACTATTCCAGGGCAATACCAAGAAAGAGAGTAATAACTAATTAGTCACTAAAAACCCACCAAATGTGACCCAGGTATAAACTGTTCAATAGTCAGAAACCCATCTTCCAAAAATCCCGGATCCGGCGGGACAGTCTCAGTTTAGAGCTCCTGTAATATTGATAGGTATGCCTAGAATCATGCTACAAAAATGTAACAGTCCCAAAAATATTCATATGGCTATACATCCCATACAAGGCAACACTTTTGTCTTTCTACTTTCAGCCTAGAAGCATGAGAAGGTTTAAAAGGATAATGTTACAAAAAAAAGGAAGCATGCAACATTTCATATTGGGTCTGGTTAGTTTACACCTCATTGTGTGTTAATGAATTAAATTGGCAAATCTATCATTTAAGAAAAAATAAAAATCATAGATACGTCATATGAAAATTGAACTTTTTTTCAGTCTTGTAACAAAAGAAAAGAAATCTAGAATACATTTCAAAATGAGTGAAGTAAAAGCACACAAACGCCTTTATGCTGTTTATATCAGTGTACCGCAGAATAAATAGAAGTGCATGTTGACTTATACGGCTGTGTGGACTTGTGTAATTGTTATAAACATGACAACAGCTTGTTATATTGGACTGTGAATACACCAAGTTTTACTATCATACATTAGAGTACTAAGATACCAAAATTTTTATTTTATTTTTTTAGATTTTTAACACAATACCTACCAGGATATACAAGCTTGGATGTTGTCCAGATTTCAGTCATGGGGAAATAAGTAATAATGAGCAGAATCTCTAGAAAAAGAGCCACCGTCCCATGAGTAGGTATTCTAAAAGGTCTAAAGACCCAAGTGCAGAACAGGAGTCCCAGTGCATTGATGTGTTGAGATTTCCTCTAACACATTAATGCAGTTCTCCATAGCGACGAAACATTTTACTCAGAAATGGCCATCGCCAAAACGTAAACATGTTTGAATAGAAATTAAATAAATGAGTGTCATTTGGAAAAACACTTCTGATGAAGTGCAGTTAGATTTCCACCCCATCTTGAAGTTGGTACATATCTAGTGCAGTTAGACCCAAAGAACTGAAGCCTTTCAGTTACTGTAAATATCGATAAACCTTGAAGCAATGGTTTCCAGAGTCTGCTACAACAACGTGACCATCAGACGTCAGGGCCAGTCCTTGAGGCCCATAGAGCGGGTCAGCAGAAGTGTTGATGTATGATAAAAATGATCCACTTCCATCAAAAACCTAAAACAAAAAATACATTTTAAAATGTCTTCTATTTCACACAGTAGTTTTCCCAATGTAAGATTATTTAAACACCATATGGCACCTAGGAAACAAAAATTGTACATACACGGAACTTGCTGCAGTACTGCATGCATGGGGAGTACAAACATTTTATGTAGGAGGGGCAGGGATGAAAAGTTAAGAATGAAAATAGTGTGTATTTTATTTTTCAAATTAGATTGTATAATTAAACAATTTTCATATAAAGGTTTATATTGAAATAATTCTATATCATACCTGTATTCGACTGTTTCCCCAATCTGCTACAATGATATTGCCATTGGAATCTACAGCAACTCCAGTCGGAGCATTAAACTGTCCGTTTCCTTCTCCATTTGATCCAAACTTCAATATGAACTCTCCATCTTGATTAAATACCTGGCAAAATTATAGTATATACATATTAAAAGAACGATGTGGTTAATGGTACTCTATAGGCCCCCATACTACTTCATCTCAATGAAATGCAGTGTCCCTGTGATTTTAACCTTGCAACTGAAAACACTGCCATGTTCTAGATTAAATTACTCTAACTCAGAGAGCATTTGATTGGCGGAGTGTGGCATACTGCAGCACATTAGTCTCCAAATGCTTCTCAACAGGGAAGCATTGGATTGGCTGAGGCCATCAATCTTGATTATCTAAGCCAGGGAGGTGGAGCAGCAACACAGAGACCAACAAGTGCCACCAAGGGATATAAGGAAATAATCTTTTTTTTTTAACCCTTACAAGGTGGGAGGCTGGACACCTGCATTGGTAGGGGGACACTATAGCGTTAGGAATACATGATTGTAATCCTAACTCTATTGTGTCCCATTAAATAAAGATCACTACAATGTCTTCAATTCATCTACATAAAAAGACTGGATTTTTTTTTTTTTTTATCTCAAAAGGATATGCATCACAGATACACACCACTTCTGAAAAAAAACCTTGGGTGTAAATTAGCACAGTCACACAAACACACTTACTCACACAGGGTTATTCACAGAAGTGTGAATTGGAGAGAATTCAAATGTGAGGACATAATTGCAGAAAAAAACACTTTTCCAATTTGACTATGTTGGACTAACATTTTTTTTTATTTACTTTAATTCCTTGCAACTCGGTAAATAACCCTCAGAATCTCTTTACTTTTTTACTTATTCACAAAAATATTAAACATTTCTGACTTCTATGGAAATATTAATACCTTAACTGAGTGATTATGGAAGTCTGTCACAATTATTTCATTGTTGGTATTGACAGCGGCAAAGTGAGGACCTGCAGATAAATATGTAAATGTGTAAGCTATTTTGGAATTAAACAATATTTATTTAACGTTTATTTGGAAGACAGTGCTATGAACACATCCTACCAATTTCTGCCACCAAATCCTGCACTCTCTCATCAGCTTTTGTTTACAACAGCTGGTGCGAACAAGTATTTTCTCTCAATAGGTGCACTCTCATTGAGCGTATGCAACATCATTTATGGACTCCGAGATGTGGTCTCTTAACAGACAAAACTGCCAGGAGTTTAGGATGAAGCCAAAGTTAAAGCTAGTGTATCAATGTTCCTATTTTCTCAGGTAGAAAACTAAATCAAGGCCTTACCTTAAACATAGATAAACATTTGAATACTCCAGATGGTGATTTCTCTGCTTTAATTCCAGCGGCCACATGGTGACTGGTAGGTAGTTTTTACTTACCTGAGCCTGTCCCTTGTGGGTGCCACCAACTGCCAGGAGTTTATGTCAGCACTGTACTTTTGCATGCGCATGCATAAGAGTACAATACTGATGTCTATGGAGGGTCCGGAAAGACCACGGGATCCTCTATACAAAGTTTTTTTTCCCCCCTCTTAGCAGTCAATAGTGACAGCTACGGTCTTAACAAGGCTTGACAAAAGATAGCTCTGTCTCTTGTCAAGTAAAGGAAAAATGCATAATACAAAAGGAGTCCCTAATTTTTCTCATGAAAACAGAAAACCACGAAAAGACATAAGTGTGGCGAAACTAACCTCGCCACTTGGTCCTGGAGAAGACTGGTTGCTCACCTGCTGCCTCAGGACTATGGTCCCCCATGTTAAAACCCTTATTCCTCCCTGCAGAAAGGCTTGTTCGTGCCACCAGGGCGTTCGGTAAATTGAATTTACCGAACAAACATACGAATGACCGAACCACCTGTGTAGGGAGTGTGCCAGCAATTTACCTCCTCGAAGCTGCGGTTAACCGCAGCTTAATTGACAAACTCTGGGTGGCCGTCGTTCGTATAGCCGAACACGTGGCGGCGGCCATCTTAAACAGTCGAATGCACAGCGGTGTTCGTTGACGATTCCATGGAACTGGAAACAGACACTTTTCTTCACGAACACCGCTGAAACCGCCGACCTCCCTTGTCCTGCCTCATTCGTTCATACGAACGCCGGGCCGTTCTGGAGATTAAACCGACGAACGGAGCTACCTCAGATAGCTATCCCATGGAGCCCATTCGTATAACGAAAGACTATGTGAAAGACTTTGGCTCCATGGCGATTGAACTGTATGTAAGTGATCTGAGCACCATTCGGTTATAATGTGCACTCAGATCTAAGCTGGGGATACATTAAAAGTGTGTATTGTATTCGGTAGTTTAGAAGTTATATATTTTTATTTCCATGTGTAAAATGGAGTTTTGCCTCTATCCTAATTGAGTTACTTCCCAATTACCTCCAAGGTAGAGAGGAGGGTTTACAATGTGCCTGTGGGAGTGTTTTATCTCTGTAATGCTCTGATTGGTTAGTGTTGTATTTTGTCCCAGTTTTCCACCAGGTCCCCTAGGGGAGTGTCCACCTGGTGGGAGACCTGCATAAATACCGGGCAGGTAGCCCACATTAAACCAGATTCCTGCTTGACCCTCAATACAGAACCTCGTCTTGTACTTGGGGGGATTTATTCGTATGGTTTTTCCTATTCGGCAGTTTGGAGTGTAAACCTTTCGTATGGTTTTTTTTTCCAGTTCGGCGGATTGGTGGATTCGGTAGCGGTCTTTGTATCTGGAAAGGGAATATCTCCTAAACTGCTTTAACCCCTTTTATGCCCGGGGTGCCGTTACAATAAGCATGATGAGAGAGCAGCTATAAAGTGATTTAGGGAACAGAAATGGCTAAACTGTTAAATGTTTTCTGTAGGATATATATTTTTAAATAGGTACTAGCATCAAATCATAATCCTAGAACATAAAGGATTATATAATGTGTCTAGGTTTCCCCTAATTGATTGTTTTTGTTAGCTGTAATAACTCATTTAATTATATGGCTGAATGTGTTCAAACAATGTAATCGCTTATGCAATTGTTTTGCTAAAAACAAAACTGATAAAGAAATATGCAAATAAACAATTCCATGCACTATTGTAAGGCACAAGCATACAATCGATGCAATGTGTAACAAAGCATTAAATCCAAACAGAAAGACAAATGTGGTATTGTACTAAAGATGAGCTTTATGTAAAATAAAGAATAAATGAAGCAAATTTTATTTTGCATGCAATAGAGAGTGTTATAGGGTAGCATGTCACACCAATAATATAGAGCTATTTCAAATTTGCAGAAGCAATCACGAGTGTAAGGAATCAGATGTAATACTAAATTAATAGACTCATTAATAGAATCAGCAAATGCCTTTTCTCGAATAAGGAAAAATTCCCAGACATCTGGATATTTCATACCTGCTTGATATTCTCCATGCAACATGCAAATAAAAAATGACAAGGGTGGTCTACATATTACCATCAAGTGTACCTGCAAACTGCTTGTCCCCATTTCCACGACTACCAAACCTGGTTACTATTTTTCCGTTTGGCTGGAAGATGAAAACACAACACGCCTTGTTGTCCACTACAATAATGTGTCCATTGCGATCGACAGAGACTCCCTTGGGTCCCATCAACTTGCCAGATCCAATTTTTGTCTATTGAAATAAAAAATAAAAAGAATAGTTATGTATGACTTTCTATGACATAGGTTCTAATACTTCCATTAACTATATAGCTCATTTATCTAAAGTTATATAATATTTAACAACAATAATTCTATACAATCCTTGCATTAGACGCTACTAGGAGTCCTATGGCACAGAGAAAGGCATCGGTGCTGTTGAAACAAATTTATTGTGATGAATATTTTGGGTCTTTTACAACTACGCAGGATGCGTAAATATAGCTTGGGGACCCAAATTTGAGTCATGACCCAGAAGTTCAGAACCACTAACCTATGCAATTTAAGTCCCTGTAATTTAAAGAATTATTGTTTATCTTGATGCTTAGTATATAAATTGAATCTAAAATGAACTTTTAAAATGCTAAAACTTACATATAAGTTTGTCCTGTCATCACTCATTAAATTTTCAAAAATCACAACAGCTTTATGCCCTCATCCCACAACATGGCGCCAGGATTAGCTATGGTTGTACAAGTTAATGTATGGCATGCATGCTGCTCACAATTGTCAAATCATTTCTGCTGGCTTTCTAAAATAGGATATTCTGCAGCAGTGAATATATATTGATGATGCAAAATAACTTCACCCTTTAACATGAATCATGATCTCCAGCAATGAAGTTGTGCTACAACTTCCAGTAGGTTACAAAATAGTGTAATTCATGTCTTCTCATGAATGAAACTACTTCTGCGAGGGGATTAATGGAATATGGATAGCATCCATTGGGAATGAGAGGAGCAGGATTTGCTGATCTCAGATGTTTCCAAGTTGTCTGCAAAAGCACATAAGGTACATTCATTCAGAGACTTAAAATTATTTTTATTTTGCTTTGCATTTTAATTATCTCCATTAATTTGTGGAGTCAGGGGCAAGATTGGCATTATTCTACGTTTCACTTGTTTTCACATTATGTTTTTGGATTTCCTTTGTGCCAATTTCTTTTAAACATAAGATAAAATCCTGGTTAAGAAGGGCTCTATAAAATGCAGGATGGTGCATTTAACTCTGCTATCCTTAAAACTTAAACTCAGACAGGAGTGTGCCTAGTCAAACCTACAAGAGAGGTGAACATTAGGCTTCCAACATACACTATTTACCTTGAATTTTCCATCTGGTGAGAAGATGCTGACCCACTTGTTGTCATAGTCTGCAATGATTATGTCACCACTTGGATGGACAGCCACTCCTGTTGGTCTCTGGAGCTGACCTGGAGATCTTCCTCGAATACCAAATCGGCTCTTAAATTGCCCATCATTAGAAAATATCTGACAAAAACAGCAGTCCACATATAATTACAATTATTTATGTATGCAAACATATTCTGCATCGCTGTACAATAATAATTCTAACAAAACATGTATGACATACGAGAACAGTAGGTGAAGACGTCCCTGCCTAAATGAGTTCACAATTTAAAGGAATATGTAATAAAACCCATAGTTCCTGTTAGCATGTCAAGTACCTATTTGATAAAGTGCAATAGGTGAATAGAAGGCGGTAAAACAAAAAAAATATTTCAAATATTGTAAATTAGCAGCAACCATATAATATTTATTTTTAACACCTTATAAGGATCCTAAGTGATTAATTAAGGTATACAGGTTGTGATGAAGTCTGGGAGAGGTGGTAATTACACTATTAATATAGGAACGGAAAAAATGAAATTGGTTAACGCCGTGGTTCCCAAACTTTTTTGGTGTAAGGCGCCCTTGATATTTTAGTACTTCTCCAAGGCACCCCAAGTCAAAATTTCTAGGTTGTAGATCTGTACAGCCCTGCCGCATTTACTAGCGCTATAGTGTAATGTACAGTGTTGGTGTTTGAAGGGGGGCTTGTATACATTTATTGTGTTAATACAGGGGTGTGTTTGTATGTGATGCTTGCGTTTGATTGCAGGGGTGTATCAGAATGTTATGTTCACTTTTAAACGTGGATGTACATTTGTGTGAAGTATTTGAGTTTGAGTGAATTGGTGTGTTTGTATATTTTATTTTGTTTGAATGCTGGAGTGTGCTTGTATGTTGTGCTGGTGTTGGACTGCTTGGATGTATGCACATACATACTTACACAGATATTCATGCACATTAACACACAGATGCATATAAACACACATATACACATACATTTTTTTTTATATCTACAGCCACCCTCCTGTTCGCTTACCTTATGAGCCAGGAGGGTAGCTTGGAGTCCTGCTGCTGCTGTGGGAGTGAGGGGTCTGAAGCTCTTCATGCTCCTCTCCCCTCACGCTGCTGCTGCCTCCTCTCCCTCCTGTGCCGTCTCCCTGCAGGATGCTGGCAGGAAGTGACCGCCATTACAGGGGCCCGGTCGCAGTCTTAAATGACCGCAGAACTCGACCGGGTTCCTGTTGAGCAGTAATGTTTCCCCGGTGCTATAATTACAGCACCAGATAATTATTCAGCGGCACAGAGTTTGGGAACCGCTGGGTTAAGTTATTACACACTTTAGAACCACATGGTTTAAATATTGAATTGGTTTGAATTTTTTAATGAATTTATTATATATGGGTCAATATGGTCTCCATTGTTCCCCTAAAGTAAGGTCTCAATTTCTAAGTTTTAATATTTGATATGCTTGATTGTATATGACTGAGCACAATTGTGTTTTAATATTTTGTAGGCAAGCATTTTTAATCTGTGACATGTTTATTCTTTGAATGATGCATAAATAGTTATATTAAGCAGAATTGTATTCTGTATGTAATCTGTGTTACAATTTACGCATTCCCTATTTATTTATATTCAACTATTGCCAGATTGATTATTGTGTCTATAAGATAGTTGCTCGATTAGCTTGCCTTATATTTAGTAGATTTTCTTCCACAACTTTTGTAATTAGTTTTTTGCGTGAGCGAGTGCGTTATAAGAGTGATCCGAGTTATTTTGCATAGTGATCTGAAGAACCCAATCCCACAGCGAAACGCCTCATCGTGCACACCATCATTGCCTTCCCCACCCTCCCCCCTGGATGTCAAATCAAATGAATAGCTGAATTATATTAGTCTAAAGCCCCTAATGGGTGTGTGAATGAGAGCCACTAGTAGGCATGGAAAGGGTAAAAATGTAAACCATGCAGGTTTTCAGACAGGGACAACATTTATACACCAAAAAAAACTGCATGTTGCAATACATTGTTATTGAACCTGAACACAGAAATCAACCATGCAGATGAACAATCCAGCAGGAATTACTTAGCAGAGCAATTTGTAAATATTGTAATACATATAGCTCATGTATATTACCTTGCATTACATACATTATACATCCATAGCGAACATTCAGGGCAATTACAGAACCAAAATGTAATGCATAAGGGAGATAAGCTACAGTGTTAACACAGTTAGCAGCAAGGCTAGTACTGTTAGATTTACTGCATTCAAAAATCTTTATTTTAGAAGGGATTCTTATTAAATGATAAGGTTCATGTTACAGTCCTTCCATCACTTGCAAGGAGTATAATGACTCACTGGAAATTTCCACACAGCTATGAGAGGTTGGAAGATGTCTTGGATCATGGTTTGAGCCTTGTTAAAGCAAAAGAAAATAGGATTGATGCTTTTTTCCCCCCACCAATAGAGTTTTACGAAGGAAAATAGTGTGGAGCCCCAGAGCCTTGGCAATACTGGCAGAACTACAGGTCGCAGCTGCGACTGTCCCGTCACTCCAGGGGACCCGGCCGCCCTGCGGACCCCTGCGACCGGGCCCCCTGTGAGGACGTTGGCCCCGGTCACTCCTCCAGCAATCACACAGAGCACGCGCAGGAAAAAGGAGGAGGGAGTCCGAGTGGGAACTCTGTCTCCCATCAGGCTGTGCTACGACTGGACCCCAGGGAAGTCAAAACATTTTTTATATGTGTGCCTGCCTGTATGTATGTATGCGTCTATGTGCGTGTCTGCATGTGTATCTGTTTGTCTGCATGTGTGGGGAAGGATAGAGGTGTACCAGTAGCAGTACAATCAGCATAATCGCGCATATGATTGAGACCAGAAAGCAAGCTATGAAGGTCAGCAAGCTAAGGAAGCACTTTAGATGGGGTGAAATCCTGATCTGAGAAAGAAAAAATTAAAAGGGGGGAAGAGCAGGACAGACAGACAGACATCCATCAACAGAAGACCAAAAGGTTTCATAGTGCATAATGTAGGACAATAGCTGAGAAGACTCAGGGAATGTATCCCCAGTTCTTCTGGCCCCCCACTATAAGCAATGTTGTATATACTACATTCTGGGAGTCCAATGAGGAATGCTATTCATGTGTCTGTGGCTACAGGTCTTGGGATGCAGGTCAAATGTCTTGGTTGGGAAAGCCAGGAAAATTATGTATAATGGCCAGGTGGAGAAAGTGTTTAGTGTGATTTTTTTTATTGCTCCCTCTGTGTATCCATTTATTTAAAGTCACTCATTTTTTTGCTTTTACTCTAGTGGAAATCCGAAAGTGGCTTATTATCGTATGGCCATGCTGGTAACACTGCATGGCATGACACAGCACAATGCAAGTCACAGTGGCTGCAATGTTACTAGAGATATGGTAGTAAAAAGAAGCACAAGGTGGGAGTCACTGAAATATGAACCAATGTAAACTGTGAACTTCATCAGATTAGAACTGAAATACTCCGGATACTCCATAAACACAACCCATTTGGATCTGTATAAGTAATATTTTAATAAATACCTGTACACATTGGTTGTTACTATCCGCTATCAAAATTTTTCCATTTGTTGATGCAGCTACACCTTGGAGATTCGTAAATTCACCTTTATTTCTTCCCTTTGTACCTAAAAAAAACATTCAAACAAAACCAAATAAGGCACAGGATATACAGAGTATATGGTCCATTATTAACTTGTAATCAAATATGAACACATACCCAAGATTAGCGAGAGTTATGCTCCTGAGTTAAAGGAGTAGGTTTCACTTGCTCTAATACCACGCAGCACTAGGACATTTGTGCCTCATGCTGCCCCACCAGTAAAGACATCTCCCTTAAAGAACACTATTTTGTTAGGAATACAAAGCTGTATTCCTAACAAAATAGTGTGCCTCTGCACCCTCCACCCCCAGCAATTAAAGCGTTAACAAAACATAAGACACTTATCCAATTCCAGGGCTGAAGTCCCTTGCTGCTGGCTCAGTCACCACCGACATCACTGCCTAATGTGTATGTGTGGCCTTCCCCATATGGAAGCATTAAATCAATGCTTTCCTATGGGGGATTGAAGACGCTGGATGTAACAGCATGTCACATTATAAAGAGGTCTTATATTGTTTCACAGAGTTAAACTCTGTGAAACTGCAGGAAGCACTTCTACAGCCTGTCTGGTGGACAGCCACAACAGGCAGTCTTAACCCTGCAATGTAAACACTGCAGTTTCTCTGATTGCATGGTTCAGATTGTAGGGTTAAGGGGTCAGGGACACTGCACCCAGACCATTTCAATGAGATAAAGTGGTCTGGGTGCCTAAAGTGACCATTTAGGAACTACACAGTCACTTAACATTAATACCTACTTTACCCTTAAGCCTCAAACTACCCTAACACTGACCTATATAAAAGATACAGAATGGTCCCCTCTCTCTCATCTTATCTTGTCTTCTCTTTCTCTACCTGTCTTTTTCACGTTCTCTACTTCTTGGTACTAAATCCTTGGCTTACAAGGATATCTTTTATTTTTCTTTTACTTCTCTACTTCTTTATGGCTAACATTGTTCCAATCTATGGTGACATAACTTCCTTCCCTCACTCAAGCATGAGCGCGCTGACGGAGGATTGATGATGCCTAAAGTACACCCAGACATGGATGGAGTTAGGGCTCCTCCTCAGGAGGCAGGGCCAGACTAAAAGATACAATATCAATGACAGGAGGCTAGTGGAATAGCATTCATTGAGAGGCTTGTCTTATGGCCTATTGTCTCACTACATTTCTCCAAGTTAGAATACTAACATTCAGGCTCCTGCACGGGCCTCACAGTTGTACTGCTCTCGCTATGCCTATCATATGAAAATTGGGAAGATAAGTGAAGCAGCCAATTAAAAACATAAAATCCTCGATGGGAGGCAAGTTGTATAGAAACTATAAAGAGGCTAGCCATAGGGGCCGATGTTAACTTATATGTCTATGAACATGCTCTTTTATATTGTGGCTTCTGCGCAAGCCTTCAAGTTGTATTATTCTTGCATTGCCTATCGTGTGCAAAAATAAAGAATAAAAAAAAAAAAAAAAGATACAGAATGGTGAAGTGTGCGATAGGGAAAAATAACAGAAACTTGGGGGTTATGGAGTCATTATCATATGTCTCCAGAACAAGTTATTTTTATCTAGACTCTGGGTTTCCAATAGAGTTCTGATAGCACTTTATTTTTCAAATATTCAAATATATTCTGCAAATGCAACAGAGGAAAAATAGTGTTGCCACAGTAAACAATAGATCTCTGTTACTACATACAATTGTATCAATTATCTCTGGCATATCCAATGTAATCTTGCTCTCTTAAATCAGTGGAGTGCAGTGACTGGACAGGACGCTACAAATGATGCATTCACTGATAGGATCACGGGCAGCAAGAAGCACAAGAAGAGTCATGATAAGATCAGCCATGCACAGAGACCTTGACAGCTTCACCTGTTGATGTTCACATGATTCATCAAAGCCTCATAAGGAACGGACATTTAAAAAAAAAAAAAAAAAAAGTGTTGTGCTAAAAAGTATACTTAAAGGAGCACTATAGTACCAGGAAAACAGTTTTCCTGGCACTATAGGGCTATTAGGTCCCCCCTCCCTCGGAGCCCCCCTCCCGCTGGACTGAAGGGGCCACTTACCTTAATCCAGCACCAGGCTTTCTCTGCGCTGGTGCACTCTCCTCTCCCCCTGCCTAAATCAGCTCCCAAGTGGAGCCGAATGCGCATGCGCGGCCAGAGGCGTGCACATTCAAACCGCCCATAGAAAAACATTACTCAGTGCTTTCCTATTGGGATCTGAACTCACGCTGCGTGAGTTCAATGCGATTTTCTAACTGAGAATTGCGGAAGCGGCCTCTAGTGGCTGTCAGAAAGGCAGCCTCTAGTGGCTGTCAGGAAGACAGCCACTAGAGGCTGGATTAACCCTGCGATGTAAACATAGCGGGTTTCTCTGAAACTATGTTTTCAGCTGCAAGGTTAAAACTAGGGGGACCTGGCACTCAGACCACTTCATTGAGCTGAAGTGGTCTGGGTGCCTATAGTGGTCCTTTAACATCCATTGATCAAAGGAATTCTGAAAATAATTAACAAAACACGATCTAGTGCAGATTATCCTTATTATAGATATACAGTGACTGATATACATATTTGTGGGTTGCACTCCCAGTTACCAGAGCCCTATAAAACCTGGCTCTGGGTGAGAAAGGCTCCACTTGAGAGGGAATAACTCCCACAATGCTCAGACCAGAAGACCTTTATTTCCAGAGATGGCACTCATTATATGCAGTGGCTCCAGGTTTCGTTAGAAGCTCCAAGCTCCACCTCTCAGTGATGCCTTTCGCTCGCCTCTATTCCTCCGGGTTTCGAAATGTTCTTGGTAAATGTGAATGGAACCCACTAATGTATATATCAGTCACTGTAGATCTATGATAAGGATATTCTGCATTAGATTGTGTTTTGTTATTTTTTTTCAGAATTCCTTTGATCAATGTTGAGTATACTTTTTAGCGAAACACGTGTTTTTGGATAATTTTGTCACTTTAGGTGACTGCAGCTGGTTTATTTTGGATGCACAATTGATTTGATTTGGTTTAATTTTCTTAAAGTGCTATCCACTTTTGGGTTTTTGGCACTGACATCAGCCTAACTCTTTCTGTACTTTATTTTCCTTTTTAATATGGATTAGTTTACAGCAGAAAGGTAGGGGACTCCTTTATTAGATACGAATAAAAAAGTATAAGCTTTCAAAAATGGTAAAACTACCTCGCTAATTCTCAATGACTGATAATTGTTCTTCAAAGAATTAAGATCTCAGTGCTTCACAATGCACTGTAATGGTCTCTCAGCTGCTGCTAACAAGATATTCTATGAATGGTTTGCTTTAAAAACAAAACAAAAAAAAAAAGTAAAAAACACATTTCCACCATTGTACTGTAAAAGCAGGACCATCTGTTTTGTGCTATTATCATTTTAACATCAGAGCCATGTGACAGCAGTGGCCAGAACACAGAGGACAGAAAATGTTCTCACTGTGCAGACACAAACATTCCCAGCACGGACTGTTACAGCAACAAGCCCAACCACTCAACCCCCAATCAAAGCAACGCAGGATGGCCACTACGTTCAAGAACACATTGACAACATTTAAATATTCAGACAACCATGGAGTAATGATTAAAACCAATGTAAGTAAAATGATTTAAATTAACAAAGATTTAACAGCTCTGAAACAAACTGTGCTTTTCACACTTTCAGTGTAATTTTGTTTGCATGCAATGGTTTAAATAGACTGTGCAAATATTGTCTTTGTGTTCTCTTCTTAGAGGATGATATATTAATACGACATTCAAGATTAACAATAACATAACCTTTTTGCTTTTTAAAGATATTTAAGGGTTACTCAGTAAATTGGACTTGTGTGAACAGAGAAAGGAGTTACCAATTTTAAATCAACATATTAAAAATACTTTTCCTTCACACAGCTGTGGTATCCACCGTCATCATCACTTACAGGAACACCTCAAGCACCATCATCACTACAGTGCGGTTAGGGTAGTGGTTATTGTGTTAGGCGTTTCCTGGCATCCCAATATTGGCAATCAAACCGTTTGTTACAACTTCTTACGATGATGCACAGCTAATTGTCTGAGAGTGTTGGGTGATCACTCTCAGCCAATGGGTAAAGCTGTGCACTGTTGGGCTTAGCTCAGTGGAAACAGCTTCTGGCTGCAAGGATTGCCATCTGACAGATCCCAGGTACAAAGTTAAACCAGGGATAACCGGGCACTGCTTCAGCATGCTGTATTTATAATGGGGTTGTGGTGCCATTTTAAACAGAAGATTAGTATACTTTTAGGCTGTGTGCGGATTGGATATCTGCATTCTCATTGACATTATATATATATATATATATATATATATATATATAAAAAAATGAATTAAAATAAAAATAAAATAAAAATAAAATAAAAAAAGCTTCCAACAAAACCCCACAATCTTTGACTTTATTTTAGAAGAAACAAATTAAAGACAAAAAGAATGACGTACTCACCAACTCTAAAGATTAAGTCATCTTCTATTGGGTTTTCTTTCCTTTTTCCAGTGCTGTACATACTTGCCGGCCTCTTCACAGCTTTTTGTTTCACATGCCCACTTCCGGGTGACTTTACTCGCCTCTTCACCCCTTCAGTGGTAGGAGAGACATCAGCAGATTTGACTACCTTTAGTTTAAAAGGACTTCCCTTTATATGCTGATCATAAAGTCTCAAAGAAAGTGTGAAATCCCCTTCTTTAGGTATCGTGTACAAAAACTCATAAGTGCCATTTTTATTGTCAAGTATTTCACCATCAGTAACGCTGCCATCCGGAGTTAACAGTTCAGCTGAAATGTAAGCACTACCAGTCTTGCAGAGTTCTCCGTCTTTGTCTTTTGTGGTTATAGTGACAGACATTGCCTGTCCAATTACACTCTGCCTTAACCCTTCCCCAGTGGCCACTGTTTCTGAGGCCACAGCATTTGTTGTTAGGATGGTACCAAGATTGTGAATTGACTTTTTCAATCCATCAGTTTCCACAATGAAGTCCAACTGATCATTTTCATGGGGCTGCAGTGGGAAATCCTGGTTGGCTAACTCATTCAGCTTGTCGCTCATCTGTTTTTTAACCAACAAAACTTCGGTTTCTGTTCCATGATTAAGTGCCTGCGCCGTGAAGGTGCTGCAGCTCTTAATGCTGTCCTGTCCTTCAATTAACGTGTCAAGTTGTGCTTGAAGAACCTGTCCACAAGTGCAGAAAAAATTACTACTACACTATAACATAACTTCCCATTGCTCTAATGTTCTCTCTTATGGCACAAACCCATGTTTATTTCACTTGTTTTAATTCATAGAGCAGGTTTACTAATCGGATTGAAATCATTTTGAATAACCTCTAACTTAGAAATAAGTGCTACAAATATTAGATTGTTAGATCATTGTGATGGTTCTGAACTCCTTTTGTTACAATGTTCAAATATATAATATTCCATATATAACCCTGTACCTACTAACAAATGATACGATGTTTGTTGTAAGAAATCTAAAATAAATATTTCTATAAATTAAGCACAAGGGAAGCTATTGTAAGTGAACTAACAAACTTACTACTTACTTTATGTTTCAAACCATAGTTAACTTCCAGTTCCATGAGCAGTACACTTTTTCGAACATTTAGCGTTTTCTGCAGGTCATCAAATGTTGAATGAATTTCATCTACAATGCTGGATTTTTGATTTGCCAATTGATTTATGATTTCAGATACAACTTGAAGAGCAGAGTCTATCTCAGGCAACCTGCAAACAGGAATACAATAATTGAGTAATTGCAAACAGAAATACATTATAAAATAGAGAACTATACAAAAGGCAGTGTTAACATTGCTGCCAAGGTGCAGTCACTCAGACAGCCACTAGAAGTGCTTCCTTTTTCGGTGCTGCAGTGTGTGCAGCACATTCAGTGTCTCTGGGCTCTGCAAAGAGTCACTAAATGCTCCCCATAGAAATGCACTGATTCAATACAGCTCTATGAGGAGATGCTGATTGGCGCCAGCAGCATCTTGCTGCCATGCGCAATAGCGTTCCAAGGTTTTCCTATGGAAAAGCGTTGGATTGGTGAAGATCATCAAAACTGATGATCTCAGCCATGGAGGCAGGGCAAAATGTTGCGAGACCAGCGTAGCGATGGAGAAAAGGTAAGTAAATCCCACCTTTTTAAGCACTTGGTGAGGGGCCAGGTAATTAACATTGAACAGGTAACTATAGTGTTAAGAATACATATTTGCAAGCACTTATACTTATCACCTGGGTAGGCTACAGAAATGTATTTCCCGACTTACCAAGATACATGAGAGAGGTACCGAAACTGCTTTCATCTATTTACCCAAGAAGCTGCTAGATTTTCTTACCTTCATCCTTCTATCTTACAGACATATTGAATTTACAGGCTGACGCCAAGTATTCACTTTGTAAGAAGTGTTTTGTTTTTCCTACGGTAGTACAGTATTGAGCTCATAACCAGACTCTCCTAATAAGCACTCTTTATATGAATCAGGTTTTATAGAGACTCCTTTATTTTGTACAGTACTGTCTGATCATTGTACCAATAAAGTCATATGGAGGTAATATGGTTTAGACATTACTGTTCAGACAGCTATAATTTCTGTAATTTACTTACTAGCCAGTAGGGGGATATATTGTAAAAGTGTACATATACTGTATGTATGTATATATTATATATCTTACTCTGTAACCATTTCTGTTGAGATACAAGTGATACATACTCACTAGGTAGGGTAGCTTTATTCTTTGTATGAACTTTCCTGCATATTCTCGGTGTAAGTTGTGAGGGATATGCTCTGGATAGACCTTTTGCTATCCTACTGGCACTAGAGATTTGTTTATCTTTTTGTTTTGTTTTCTTACTCTAGTGCCATGTATATAGTTTGTTTTTTGTAGACTTTTAGGTTAGACTGTAGTGTTCTGTCTGCATGATCTCCACACTTGAGCTATTCTTTGTGAGAACAATGTTATTCTATAAATTTTTTTTTATCCATGGACAATATGAAAAAAAAAAAAAAAGCTTGCATTTTCCTCGTGATGCTTACTCAGCCTTTTTGTTTCTGAATCTATTATTTTAATATCTGCATTTTGAGATTGCTGAATTTTGTCATCCAGGATACAGCAAGGAACCTGGACATATCCGTTTAAATCCTATTTATGGTGTATCGTATAATCTTCATATGTTTTTTTTCCACAAATGACATACATTTTTGTGTTCGTTTAAATGTTCTGATTGTTTACATTTTATAACAATGTTGTAATGTTGGATATATATATGGGATTGCCCTTTTCTTCATATGAGCGGTTTGAATTCCAGTAAAATATATTTGTAGAAATAAGCAATTTCTGCATTTCTTGTAGCCCAAGTAAAAAATAAATAAATAAATAAAAATAAACAATTCATTGAGATTTCTCATTGGAATAAAATTTACAGTCTTCAGATAAACCCAGGACACAGCAAAATACATACATACAATTAATAATTTTACCTTTTCTTGACAGCATCCAGCTGAGCCTGCAGAGCTGCCTTATGTTGCTCAACTACATCTTTTAGAGGTACTGTGGGGTGCTCTGCATGTTCCCCTCCTGTACAGTCCTGACACATTGCAGTCTCACATGACTGGCAATAAAATTCCATCACCTGCAAGCAAAATAAGGCAATTATTTTCAGCTTTCTGGATATCAACTACAAGTTATCTCATCACCCAAGCCATGGAGATGTATAAATAAAAACAGTAATGCATCAAATAAGTAAAACTAATGAATATGTGCAGGCAAACAAGCCTTTGACCTTTCTAGACTTGTGTTATCATTGGCTGTTGTAGTGCTATTTAACACATTCCTTCTTCAGGATTATCTTTATTACCCTAATCTTGAATTTACTATGTTCTAGAAGTCTGTTCCAGGTATCGGTTACCCTTTTTGTGGGAAAAACAAAAAATAATTTTCTCATATTACAACTAAATGTTTGAATATGCCCTCATTATATGTAGGATAATGCAATAGGCTTTACGAACGTCATATTGGAATAACTGTATTTAACCCATACTTATACAAGCATATGATACATGGAATATTACATATATACAAGCTCAATTTTCTTTGCCATATTAAAAAAAAAAAAAAAAAAAAATCATATTAGTTTGCTTGTTTTTTGTTTTATCTGTTGCTCCTTTTGTGCCTTAGCAGTCATATCTGATGTACATCATTTGTTGGCAACACAACAAATTTATCAATACAAAGAGCCAAAGGCTCCTAAGCAGGTGCTTCCATTGGTTTAGTATAGCCACCACCAGGGGGATGGTGCCCAGCAAACTTTAGGTAAGAAGTAAAACCTTCCAAAACAATTCAACTTCTTACAGGCCAACACACTCCTGGCAACAGAACCACTACTGCACACTGTAGTGTTTATTGTGTTCTTTTAAGCAGAGAAGTACTCCAAACCCAAAATGTTGTGATATTTATTTGGTCAAAAAAATAAAGTAAAAAAAAAACAAAAAAAAACTTTAAATACAGCTGTAATTATGTAGAAATATATAAATTCTTAAAATCAGTTTACATAAGATCAACTGCTGACAGATTTCATTATAAACTGTGGCATTTAGAATGTATCATTTTTTTCCTGTGGGTGGACAACCTGAGGGGCGGGGGAGGTGAGAGCCACGAGGCGGGATGTTTCCGCATGTTATGGATTGGTTCCACCTGACGGCATTCCTATCCCTCTCCTCCCCTCTTCCTCCTCACTTTCCTCTTCCCTCTTCCGTCAGTTTCCCCCGCACACATTCCCCCTTCCTCTTTTATCTGGAGCGTGGCAGATTTCGATACACTAGACGACAGATAATGGACTTAAACGTATTGCCTGGAAGGGGTATATGACATAGATAAAGAAGCCCATTCAGTTGGTTATAGCGCACCAGAGGTAGGGGGGAATCAGAAGCTTGGTTCAATGTTCTTGCTACCCTTTAAACTTTTCTCTTATTTATTCTTTAATTCTCTGTCTTACTTAATAAAAATATAACATTGTGCTGTGGACAGACATAGTGCTAGCAATAACAGCCTGGGGATTACTTCTTGATTGCTGTGGGTCTTGGAATGCTTATCAATATTTTGTGGAAGTATGTTGTGACCTTATTGTAAATGCTATGTTTCTGTTTGGCTTGTGATTACAGTCTACTGGAATGCAAAAATAAAGAATTATAAAAACATTTTTTCAAAAATGTATAATTTAGTATTCAGGAAATATTCCCAAATAAAATTCAAACCTTACAAGCTTGATGTGAGATCAGATACCCAAGGTCTACCAAAATACTCTCGAGAGATAAAATGAATCAAATTCCCTTCCATATGAATGAGTAGCTGAGGTGTAGTTAGTCAGAAATGAAGTACAAAGTACCAATACATGTATAATGCACAGCAACATGTCACCACTTAAATTATACAAACGCATTTTTCAGAATAGTACAGAGACACTTTAGAAGTCTTAAGGTGACAAAAGCAGCATTACAAGTGCTGAAATTGAACCTCACTTGCCCTTCCTGCTTGGCAGTGAGCCATACTAGTGAAAAACAGTTTTACTGATTAACCCAATCCTTGAAATGAAATGCCATGATACATTAAGAAGGTTCTGTGCTATGCACAACTTCATAATGTTCAGCTAATCGTCATCTGCCGTATACAAAAGAATTAGCAAGGGTCCCAGGGATTAGCTGGATTCTAGTAATGAGATTGTGTATCTTATAAGTAGTATTAACAGTGATCCGCTTTAATCAGTCCCTTTCTCTTCCTCTTTAGTACCACATCAAAGGAGAGACTATTTTTTTTCTTCGTTCAATTGAGCCCAGACCACAGCAATGGTGGCTATGAGAAATAACACTTTTCTGATGTTCACATAGATAGTGGTGGTATGTAAAGCTTGCAAGGACACCAAAGCATGAACGAATACTTTTATCAATGGATCTGAAATTCTTGTTAAAAAATAAAACAGATGTGCACTACAGTATGGCAACAATATTTACAAAGTGTAACCTACATGAAGTAGAAAGCATCAGCAAAGGATCTCACACACATCTGCATGCCAAATCTGTTCTAACACTTTGCCAAGTTAAAACCATGAAGCAGAATAATTGCTACAAGCAGTATGCAGTGGAGTGTGAAAATCTATTAAGATGTAAATTAACAAAAAAAAAAAAAATTGCTAAAATTGGCAGAAAGGAAATCACAGAATTTATATTAGAAAAAATATATAATATTTCTAAAATAAAACATATGGAATGTAAACACAAGACAAACAGCATTCTGGTAAAACACAAGAACTACTGATGTACAATGGTTTGAAAACCATGAATTTGTGTACGCACAGAAGGTTATCAGATATCAACATAGCATTATTCTTATCTGGAGAACAAACAAGTGGTTGTTTGTTTGAGATGTTAAGTCCTCATAAAAAGCAATATTAAAATTATGCAAAAAAACAAAACAAAAAACTATTAAAAAATAAATAAATAAAAAACAACGAAAAAAAAAACCACACATATAAGTCAGTCACAAGCCCAAGACACATTGTGTATGCGTAAATGCAGGCATGATATTGAAGCATTAAAGGGAACTTTAAATACACAACTAACTGTAGTTGTTTGGGTGCAAATAGTCTTTTTGAGCAGCCCCTCTAGGTTTTTGCCAAATGATTTGACAAAAACTGAACCCTCCTGACACTCAAAGCCTGCTACTCCATGCGGTCTCTGAGGAAATACACACGTTTCTCTACCACATAATCCATACAAATTTATCCAGATATTAAAGGGACACTAAGTACAAACACAACTTTAACTTAATAGAGTGCCTCCACAGTTTGACTGCTCAATTCTCTGCCATTTGGTACATAAATTATTTTGTTAAGTTTTCCCTACAAATTTCCTGTAAAGAGACATGTAATGTTTAAATATCTCATGCTCTGTTAAGAGCCTACAGAAGCCTCCTGTTTGTCATTAAAGTTCAAGCTAAGATGACTCTGGTGTTTATGCCCGGTAACTGCTGTCAAAAGGTGTATGGGTCTCCAAGGAGACACTGAACTTTCCTAATAGAGATGCATTGAAATAATGCTACTCTATGAGGAGATGCTGATAGGGCAGGGTGGCGGTTGACCCTGCTGCCTCAATGATCTCAGCCAATCCAATGCTTTCCCTGTGGAAAAGCATTGGATTGGATGATGATATCAATTCTGATGATGTTAGCCAAGGAGTAAGTTGTAATCCTTTCTAAGGGGGCAAGCAACCTAAATGGTATTTTTAACATCTACGTGTGTGTTCCTGACCCTATAGTGCTTCTCTAACTTTACTTGCCTACAGGTTTTATAATATTTGTATTTTTATAGATAAAAAACCTAATAGGTAAACACCAGTATACCCTGGTGTATAGCTATAAAGGTAGTGCAATGAGACCTGAAAAATGGTTACCAAAAACACTATGTCACTGCAAGAAATGTCCGCCACCTACGGTTAAAGGATATATAAGTTAAATACCTATTGAATCAACAATAGTAGCTGCAGGACTCAGTGTGAATGATAGAAATGTTGTATATTGGCAACAATGTGTAGAAATATGTATCAGCCCGTATGCCTGCCATTAAATAAAGAAATTAAAAATAAAATGTTTATCCATCTATGATTAAACTATAATTGTACGCAACAAAGTATGAAATGAAAAATACAGGAGTTTCAGTCTGTGGTGCTGGTCAGCACTGAATGCAAGGGGTAAAATCTAATGCAGAAGGAGATACTATATCCAAAACAATATAAACCTTTAAAAAAAAAAAAAGACTTGTTTATACTATTCTATGTTTGCTGCACATGCATATGTTCAGTACATTTTTGCCTCCTTAGACATCATTTCTGCAGCATGACAATGGCAGCACCAACTAATGTAGCTGAATAAAAAGGGTGTGTTGGCTGGACGGTACCAAAAGACAATCAGCATGGAGCCATTCAATACAGGATATTCAGCACTCCATAAATCTAGGCATCTGTCTATGTGTAAGACACAGTATCTATTCTAGATTCTATTTTTTAGTTTTTTTCATAAATAAGCTGCTTTGTGATGACCCCAAATATTGAGCCCATTTTTCCATTAAAAATGCATAGCTTTTTGCTTACATTTCCATCATGGTTGGGACAGGACAGTGGTTTTCCAGCAGCAACAGCATTCACGGTCTCCAAAATGGAGGACTCTTCAATTCCATTATCTGGACTCCTCTGGAGCACATCCATCAGGTTTGTAATGAAGAAATTATTTTGTAGAGCAGAGACACCCTTCTCAGGTAGAATTGAGGTCTGACGGCAGACTGGACAAGATAAGGTCAAACTGTGAGCTGGAATGTAGTTCTGCAAACACCTGGAATTGAGAACAGACCCAAAAATAATGTAAAATATGTATTAGTGTCATATGGCGTTATACTCAAACGGCAATTGTAAACAACCAACTAGAGCTGAAAATATAGTATCGTCTGAGTGTTTGTCAAGCTCAGCTATTACAGCCCAAATATATACCTCCACATCTCTTGCTTTAGTGAATAACCATCATTTTAGCTTTGGAACTCTATTACACAGGACACACACTTGACCGTGATGTCATGTTTAGCCATTGGGCAATGTGTGCACCCTCTGGATAACTTTACTCTAAGAGCTTACCAGCTTTATTGGATAAGGCAAACCTATCTACAGTATACACTCACACCATAACTAATGAAATAAGCTGAATACAAAACACATTTAGAGACGCGGAAATGTTCGATTTTAGTTCTACAGCTCCAAGTAGGCATAAATAAAAAATACCAAGCAGATAGCTTACCTCTCACAAAATGTGTGCAGACAGGGTAGAACTTTGGGATTCTTGTATCGGTCGAGGCATATGCTGCAGATCAGAAATTGCTTATCAATCTGGCGCACCACAGGGCTAGGGATATTGGAACCTTCACTGGCCATCCTAGACCACTGACATGTGGGTTACGTTCCCTTCCACCTTGCACACTAAGTTAAAAATAAGAGCAAAATAAGAACAAGTTAGATTAGAGCGGATTTGAAAGCACTGCAGCCCATTCTCTATGCATTGAGGAAAAAAAAAAAAAAAGAAAGAATTTTTTTTTTTTTTTAAAGAAACAGGACACCCACATGATATACTTGATCAAAACGCATTTTACTGCACATTTTAATTTTATAGCTAGAAATATAATCTTAAAACATGCAAATCCCTACCTATTTAAATAAAACACACTTTCCTCTAGAGAGAAACATGATGTTTATTCTGAAGCATATTTTGTCAATTTACATTGCATCTTTATCTGTGACCGGATATCATCCGACGGCTTTCAATATCACCTGTACATGAATGATCTTTCTCCCAGTCTGCTGAATCATGCTACCAAATGCCTATTCTCTGTCTCTGATTTAATAGCTTCACAACTCCAAAAACTCAACTTTATCCAAGGTCAAACTAGTCTTACTCCCTAAAAAGCTACGTCTGTCCTGGTTTCCCTTCAGGTAAACTGAGCTATCCTCGCCACTGGAGTGTTATTTCAGCGTGTTCTTTGTCTCTTACCTTTCCTTCACCGGTTATGAAATATATCACACATTTAACTCCCTTCTTCGCCCTGCTGTTCCTCCTCCACCTACTAACACGGTTGATCATCAACAGCTTCTTCTCATCCTCCGCAATATCGGTCTACAAGATATTGCTCTCCTGGTGCTCCTCCTACCTCTCCCAGTGCTCTTTCAGTGTTTCTCTCTCTGGCTCTGCTTCTTCTCCCCAACTCCTCTCTGTTGGTGTCCCCCAAGGTTCAGTCCTTGGTCCCCTACTGTTCTCCATCTATATTGCCTCCCTTGGTAAACTCATTAGCTCCTTTGGCTTCCAATAACATTTCTATGCAGATGACACGCAAATCTACCTGTCCTCTCCTGATCTCTCCCCGTCCCTCTTGACTAGTGTCTCTGACTGCCCCTCTACTGTTTCTAACTGGATGGCTGCCCACTTCATTAAACTAAACTTGACCAAAACTGAAATTCTGGTCTTTCCTCCCTCAAGTGTTGTTACTCCTGTGTCTCCCTCCCTCCAAGTCAACGGTGCTACTATCCGCTCCACCACGCAGGCTCGCTGCCTAGGTGTTCTCTTTGACTCCGACCTCTCCTTCAAACCTCATTTTCAATCTATCGCTAAATCCGGTCATTTCCATCTCAAAAACATTGCCCGCATCCGCCCCTACTTAACGCCAGATGCGACTAAGGTGTTGGTTCATTCCACTGTCCTTTCTCGCCTTGACTACTGTAATCCGCTTCTTAGTGGTCTTACGTGCTCCCAACTTGCGCCATTACAGTCCATAATGAATGCGGCGGCAAGGCTCATCTTCCTTTCCGCCCGCACCTCCCATGCCTCACCCTTCTGTCAATCCCTACATTTGCTTCCTATAAAATATAGAGCTCAATTTAAAATTCTGGTTCTTGCTTTCAAATCTCTACATAATGCTGCTCCCAACTATCTATCCTCCCTTATACACAAGTATGTCCAGTCTAGGCCCTTACGATCTGCTGAAGACTTACTTCTATCTTCTGTCCGTACTCCCACCTCTGATGCTTGCCTTCAAGATTTCTCGAGGGCTGCACCTTTCCTGTGGAACTCTCTTCCCTTCTCCGTTAGATGTTCACCCAGTCTCCACTCCTTCAAAAAAATTGTTTAAAAACCCACTTCTTCATAAAAGCGTATCAATTAAACTGTTAATAGCTCCTGACGGATTCCTCTTCTGCAACTGTCACTAGTCTAATACTATCCTTACCTTTTTGTGTCATTTTACCCCACTCCCTCTAGCATGTAAGCTCATTGAGCAGGGCCCTCAACCCCTCTGTTCCTGTGTGTCCAACTTGTCTGGTTACAACTACATGTCTGTTCGTCCACCCATTGTAAAGTGCTGCGGAATTTGACGGTGCTCCATAAATATCATCATTATCATAATCATAATAATAATATCACCAAATCCTGTCGCTTTCACCTTAAAAACCCATTTCCCACATTCACCCCTTTAACACTCTAGATGCGACCAAAATGCTTGTCCATGCTCTCCTTATTTTCTGTCTTGATTATTGTAACATGCTCCTTATAACCTGAAAGGTTCCCAGCCATACATCTTTAGTGTATAATGAACACCTCTGCTAGACTCCTCTAGCTAATGTCCCACAACTCTCAACCCTCATCTTGGTCGGTCTATACTGGCTTCTTGTTTAATTTAGGATTTGGTTCAGACCAGTGTTCTAGATCAGGTATTTCTGTGTGACTTTGTGACTTACTGCTTACCTTTTACAGAACTAAAAATGTAAGACACATTAGAAAATGTAGTTTAGAAAAAGACCAAAATATCTTACTGCATTTGTTGTAGTTTAAGATCAGATTACAGAGCTTTCCAATAAAGGAGGACCTGTCACAGGTCCCCATACCGCACCTCATAAAACTATTAACTGGGGTGGACCTAGTGTCACCCCCATGCATAGGGGCACTGGATCACTACAGACAAGGTAGCTATGATAGCTGCCTGTCACGGACAGTCACAGGAAAAGGACATGTCTTAACACAGACTCCCTGTGTTTTTCTATTAGTCCACTGTCCATAGCTAAATGTGACAAACAGCACAGAGACGCAACGATGAGCTCAGCCTCCAGTCTGCGCATCCTGTCAGAGGAGATACAGCACGTGCCTGTTACCTGCATGGGTTCGGTCCATTTTCTCACAGTTTGCGCAGTCAGCATCGCTCCTCCCTATGCTCACTGCATAACCTGGATGCAGGGCGCACCGGTTACTATTTTAACAGGCTCACGCTCAGTCTATTGTTCGGTGACTGAAATGGTCTGTGGACTCTGTGCTACACAAACACTTCACTGGTAAACGCCTGCCTAAAACCCCAAAAGCCTACCCTAGAATAAAAATATAATGTAATAGAAGATCCAAAATATGGATTAAAGGAAAATAATGGAAGTCTTGTGGTTTTTATATTAATTTCCTGCTTTCACCTTGAACATGTGAGAAATGCTTGCCTAGCAGTGTATCTGGTATCGTTCTAGATAAATTCCAGTGCTATACAGTCAGTCAAAATGTATAATAATTAGCAGGTATTGCAGTGTTCCAGGAACCTCCGACACGCAATAAGAATAATAATATAGACCAACATTGCTTGGGGCCTACCGCTAGCAATAGTATTACTCCACTAAAAAACAGGTTTAGTTAATAAACTCCTAAAGTATGTACAATGCAGGGCTCATGCTAGTTTACTTGTGAGATGACGATTACGGTCAGAGCAACAAACTGCAGTACCACTGCAATCATTTATTTGTGTGGGCGAAGCAAAGCTGGCTGGAGAGATCAAAAAGGAAGGGAAAAACCATTACCATGGAAATACCCTTGGAAAATAAATGTAACGTGAGAAAGAGCACAAATGTGCTTTGTTGTTTAAATACCAATTTCCACAGAGACGTAATATGCTGGCATTTATTGACCAAGGTATTCATATCATGTGCAACCCACAAGCCTGGCTGCAACGTGGAGCATAACCCAGCAATACAAAATAACTTCTCAGCCACTTGGCATTATATTGATTCTATCATTTCTTAGCATTTGCAGATTGTTTCTACCTTAGTAAAGCTAGGACTAATAACTACAAATTGGACAAGTAACAAATATATTGCTTATTATACAAAGTCAAAGCTGACTATTTAAAGGGACACTTTAGGCACATTTTACAGTTTAAAAGAGAAGAGCAAACATTCATTTATTTTAAATTTAAATTTTTAAAAATAAAGGGAAAAATTATAAAAATCCTATCTGTAACTCTATTGGTATTTGATTTCAGTACCAATAACCCAGATGTTTGAGAAGGGACAGGGGCTGTCCATCTGCATAATGAACCTGGTCCAAAATACTTATTTGTTATCATTGAGCTTACTGGAGACTCTTGCAAGATCAATGGTGTAACATTTCTGGTGTAACCAACAAGATACCAAGAGCACCAATGCAGGAAGGCTGAACAGGAGCCCTCAATCAGGCCAGTTGAGAGAAAGGTTAATTATTTATTAACGTAAGAATTACCAATGGAATTGCTATTGTATGGTAAAAATAACTAAATGTGAAAAAACAACAATCTCAAATTGTTAATTTAGGTTAATATAGACTATTTATTCAGAAAAAAAAGGAAGTAGGGTGGATCACTCTAGTGCTTTACTTAGCCATAGGGCAAAACATGGACGTCCCATGAATTGGAACAACGTTGGGGGGGGGGTTAAAGGGTAAGAATCTAAGGAGGAGAATGACCTACACTTTTTGGTCACAGTTTAACAGAAGAAACCCAGGGCAGTGGGACCCAAATAAATAAATAAATAAATAAATAGACTGCCCTAATGTGATTGGAATGACTGAGAGGCCTGACTTGACATATCAGTAACAGGAGATAGGCAGGTTTAAAGTGTTACTCCAACAAATAAACAAAAAATGGTTTTAATAAAGGAATGTTCAATGTCTTAACTAAACAGTTATGGTGAATCAAAAAAATTGCAAACTGTAGGTCTCTAACAATGTTGGCCTTTATTTTATTAGATTTAGAAATGTAAAGCCAAGTTGAGTTTATGAGCCCACACCATTTAATGTTAGGAGGGAAAGGGTTAATCTATTGTCAAACAATTGCTTTTCATAAACCAGCGACAGATAACTAGGTTTATCTATAACCACAAATCTAAAAAATGTGTTCTGTCTTTCAGTAACAGATCATTTCAATGGTACATATTTTTCTCAAATTACACTAGTAGGACAATACTGGTGCCAATAATTATCATTAGAAGGGTGCAGATCTGAGAGAGTCATATGATGATGGTTGACATAAAAATACCATAATGATGGACTGTAGTAAAATCTGAAACGTTTATAATTAAATAATATGTACACCAAGCACATAACA